AATACGTTACGAAAAATGGATTAAGCATAGAGTTAACATTTCCATTAATCAATTTCTGCATATCAGTTGATGCATGGTGGAGGTTGCAGCAAAGAACGGATATCTTCTGGGCTTGCAACTTTATAAAGGAGATCTTTGATAGCCACAATACATACATTGTGTGGCGTTGGTTCTTCTGTCGATTAATTTAAATCCGCAACGGGATCCTAATTTGCTGTCCGCCACAAGAGTTGACACCCAGTTTATATTATTGGGAAATTTCTTACCCTTTATGAATTTAAGCAACATTTTTTCAGCGGTCGAAAGACTCGAAGGTTTGAGGACAAAACGGAATTGTAGAGGATGTTTTGCATTCTCGCTTTTTGAGCATGAATAATATGTATGCTATTAGTTATTACTATATGGTAATATGTAAATATAATATAAAATTTAAATATAATCTAATAGAATATAATATGATAATATATAAATATAATGTGATATTTAAATATAATATAATAAAATAATATGTATGCTATTACTTATTACGAGATATCGCTACAAACATTAATGTCAGCATTTTCAATTGCTCTGAGTCTTATCATGAGCTTTTCCCCCATTTTTACATGCACATAATCCTTATAATAACGGCAGTTCATTATAACGTCTGCCACAAAAACAGTCAACCAATCGTCACTTACTTTACCAGTCAATAAACTTGTTCGCGGAAAACTTTTTATATATTTTGAGCGCAGAATGCTGCTTTTTCCGATTTGAGCCATACGGCGAACATCTGTGTTCAATGAATTATCGATTGACTGTTTGGAGCTCATAAAAATTGCTTCTTATACCAAAATAAACCTTCTAAAACTATGCGATCTCTATGTGGCTCATACCGACCACTCGCTGAACCACATCTAGTGTTCATATCGTTGCAAATGTGGCAATGCCTAGGGTCTCTCTACATAAACTATTTTATGAAATATACCATTCAGTTACCGCACATCAAATGTTAACTCGGGTGAGCACTGTGAAATAGCTACTTGTCATCTGCCGCACATCATGGCTTCCCAAAGATTTCATTAAGCCTAGCTGACATCTATTTTTGCGATGCCAGACTCATCATTTTCACCGTCTTTGGTGCAAATCTAAACATGAGTATGCCTGATAATTACTTTCTGAGCCATGATGCGATCTGTTATGGGCAATCTCATGCAACCCGATAAAGGTGCTGCGACCTTGGCAAGCTTCGGAGTAGAGCAGTGCCTTTGGTCTTTAGCCAGTTCTCTCGGGAGAACCCAACCTCTGTGTAGACAAGGCGAAAGGTATGACATATTTATATACTATGTCAACCAAGAGCAATCAAGTCTACAATGCTGCTCATCCGTTCAGTGATATTTTCACTTAATGGCACGCGTAAGTAGTACGTCTGCGTCTTCTCTACAGAGGGATTTGGTTCACCACGAGAGGACTGGCTAAAGACAAAGGGCACTGCTCAGCTGACGAGGTTGTCAAGGCCGAAACACGTGTATCGGGTCCTAGGAATATGCGTGTCTCAAAAAAAATTACCAGGCTTATTGAAATTTGGGCGTGGTCTGAAAAAATACTCAAAACCAAAGGTATAAACATGAGTAATTCGTCGACTCAATTAGCCGGTGATTCAAAGTAGTTATTGAGTTTCGTCTGCTCCAGTGAATACGCTGGAGAGGAGACATCACCGAAACAAAGATGGATAACAACTTTCTGTATGAACATTTTTATAGACCATGTCATTGGCCTATTATAGTGTTATTCCAGGAACTAGTTCTATCAATAAAGATGTTTCGCTAAATTGGTAACAATTTGGTCACATATGCTCGCTACGCTGTGAGTTTATACCAAAATTGGGTGAGATAGAATTTTTTTTAGAAAAGAAGGAAATGATTTCATATCTGTTTATATATTTTATAAGACCCGTGATCACAATTCACTGTACACATCCCAGCACTTGTTGCATTCGATTCGCATTCATCCTTCACAAAGGTCTCCAAATATTAGTATAATAATTAGGTTGCTGTTTAGAAATCTTCTCTTCTTTACAAATGTCTCAGAATGCTTGGTCGAGACGATTCGACATGAAATTTTGAGAAAAGTCGAGCTAATTCAGATCAGCGCCTTCTTTATCACTTTCCTTCCTGATGTACCGCATCATTAACTTTTATTTAACTCCACCTCCGAATTACATATAGAATCTCTATAAAGTCGTGCATCAATGTGAATAGCCACCATGAAATACGGAAGAAAGGGAACCCGGAGAGGGTCGATTAGGGCAATCGTCGTTGACATATCATTAGGAAGCATAAATTCCTGTATATCCAATAATGTGAAAGAGTGATGGGAGAACAGGAATGTCGATACTGTCACTAGCTAACACGCTCCCCCAGAAAACCTGAAATGAGGGTTCGATTTCCGTTTGACGTGCAAAGTTTTGTCATTCAGCAATGTAGGATATATATTTGTAATATCATACTACCGCTAAAGGCGGCTCAACATGTACAATTATAGTTAATTGTATATAAACTTTGGTAAGGGCACGAGGATCACTTTAGAATTTGGAAAGAATGGTGACGTCTTATTCAACTCAAAATCTTCATTTTAGTGATAGTTAACAATGTTGAGAACAGTTTAACAACTATTTGTTCAAAAGATCATTTCTTAAATATACCTAAAAGAGATAACTGTTGAGTAAAAATTCGGCCTCAGATGGGAGTAAAACCCGCGTTCCACTTATACCGCAGGCGCTACCACTACACCTCACAGGCCACCGCTTATTCAATACTCAATCTTCGAGATCTTTCTACCACGGCTATCAGTCACCAACCGTTAACAAATTTGGTCGAGTAAGCAGTATCGCTCTATAAACCCAGTTAATCTGATAGCCATTGTACTTATATCAATCCAAGATTTATTGTGTTTCTGCTTCTTCGCAGTGCTACTAAGTTGGAAAAAAAGTTTCCATCGTTTGATAAAATACTTCCAAAGTTTATGCATATATCCAGATAACAAGCAACGACAACTATTCTTCAAAACACAGGCTGTCATTACCCACCACTTTTTGCCATCGGTAAGCCAGGTTTCAAATCTGATCGAAGTACCACTTTTTCGACTTTGAGTCAAGGAACTTTTGGCACGCTTCTTCAACTTCATCGAGAGATTCAAATTGGACCTTCCGAAGAGTGCTGCATTGATTGGAAAAGGCCGTAATAAGGTAAGGCAACGTTTGGATTACAGTGTGAATGCGGTAAAATCTGAGCTCCGTCCAATTCCTCAAACTCTGCCTTAGTCTTTGGCTGTGTGGTTTTGCGTTGTCTTACTGAAACAGAGCGCGTTTTCGACGAACAAGTTGTGACATTCTCGGCCAACTTGTCGTATGTTTTTTTCTCCTGGACAATTCCATTCTGCGGCAGATATAGACAAATTATAAATCAATAGATGCGCAAGAAGTAAACCTTTCAAGTGGTATGAAAGCCACACACGATTCATGCGAAAAATCGACTCGTCTTAACGATGGAAATATTGTTTCCAGCCTAATATGATGTTTCAGGTATACCTAAGAGAATTGACTGGTGTGCGACAATTCGACCTCATTCGGGAGTTGAACCTGCGTTTCATCCATACCCGGAGCGCGTGCCACCACTACGCTGCCGAGGCCATTTTTGTTCACCACTCATTTCTTTCATTCAAGAACCTTTGATTCAGTGGAAACAGAAGCGGTGATAGAGGCTCTGGATAACCAGGGCGTTTCTACTCTGTACATAATGATCCTTCGTGAGCTTTATAAAGATTTCACGACCAGAATATCTCCATTCTACAACAATATCACCATTGACTTAAGAAGAGGGGTTCGACAAGGCGATACAATTTCGCCAAAACTATTCACTGCCACCCTACAAAACGTCATGCGAACATTAGAATGGGAAGAAATGGGAGTGAAAATTGACGGTCGACAATTAAACCATCTTCGCTTTGCTGACGATATCGTTCTCATAACACCAAATATCAGCTAAGCAGAACGAATGTTGACTGATTTTGATTACGCCTGTGGAACGATTGGTCTTCAACTGAATCTAACGAAAACAATGTTCATGAGGAACGGATGGGTTTCTAATGTCCCATTCACGCTCAACGGAACGACAATCTCCGGATGCTCCAGTTACGTCTGTCTAGGTCGTGAAATCAACGTGATGAACGACCTAGCACCAGAGTTGAGCAGGAGGAAACGGGCGGCTTGGGGAACGTTTAAGAGCATCGAAGATGTAGTGAAGAGGACAAAGAACATCCGACTCCGTGCCCACCTTTTCGACTCGACAATTATCCCTGCCCTAACGTATGCAGCAGAAACCTGGTCGTTACGTCGGCAGGATGAAAGATCACTTGGAGTTATCGAACAAGCAGTCAAAAGGTCGATGCTAGGATATCCCGTATTTCGCAAATGAAAGAAAGGATCCGAAGTTTTGACCTACGTCAACGATCGAAAATCAGAGACGCTGTTCTACACGCCAGGATATCGAAAATAAGGTGGGCCGGACACGTGATGCGCTTCAACGACAACCGATGGACGAGAGCCGTTACCGACTGGATTCCTCGGGACGTCAAGAGCTCTAAAGAGAGACCACTGACCCGTTGGTCCGATTTCTTCACGAAAGCGATGAAAGAAAGATATGATGCTCAGCGAATCCCTAGAGCCAGGAGAACCCACTGGGCTACTCTTGCACGCGATAGGGAAAAATGGAAGAGTTGCTGGTACCCGCTCGAGTCACTCGACGATCAACGGGACGACAGGTGACAGGTGATATCTGAAGCATCATAAAACTGCGAAAAAGCACTAAAAACATAAAAAATCTTGTATTCATATAAATACAATGGCTGTCAGCTTAACGAAGTTTATAGAGCGATATTGCTTGCACGACTAGACCTGTTGAAGGTCGTCTTCTCATACTATGATAGAGATATTTTGAAGAATGACTGATGAGTAAGTTGTGGCTTCTGAGGTGTAGTGGTAGCACACACCCCCGGTATTGGTGAGACGCGTGTTCAACTCCCGCCGGAGGTTGAACTTTTGCTCACCACTCATTTTTCCTGAGTAGATTTGAAGCATTATAACACTGGGAAAAAACAGTTAAACACAGGAGACTCTGGATTTGAATTTTTGATGGTTGTCAAGTATTTATGAGAGATGAGAGTAATAAGAGACGATATGGCGAACAAATTGATGGTTGTATAATTGTTTATAATGTGGGGTAGATTTGTGTCACCAAGCGATATAATTGTAAAATTCTGAACCGCGTCACTTCAGTCTATGTAGCACCGCTCGTTGATTCATCGACAGAATTTACCTGGGCGCTAAAGAAATTTGTCTGGATTACAACATAGATTGTGAAAAATCATAGAGGCTTTTCGAGGTGGATACGTCAGTGGGTTACGTACTTTTCGCCGGTGCCACCTGCCTCATTAGAGCCACACACCCCACACTGAACCCTACTCTATAGCAGAGATGAGCAGACTTCATGGTGATAGTACGTGATACTCTGCTATCACCATTTTCTCAGTGGATGGCGCACGACTGGTAGCAAATATGTAGATATCCTTTCAATGGAGTGTTATCAACCTCGCTATAAACATTCAGTATAGCCTGTAAGAATTGCAAAAAAATTGTGAGAATACAATATCGTGTTATTGCCAAAGCATGTCTCTTCATTCCTGCTACAACGTAAGGTTTGATTTGGCGCATGTGGTTCTAATGAAGCGAGTGATAGCGGCGAAACGCACGTAAGCCACTGACTATCAACTGCGAAAAATCTTTAGACATTCTCATAAACTAATTTGAATGTTTATGGCGAAGTTTAGATATAGCCGGCTGGGAAATTTGAATTGCAGCGTTATAAGCATGAAAACGCCGGTATAAGAGCAGAGTTTTGAACCTTATGGGTTTGAGCCATAGAATAGACGCGAGCGTCCACTATACCTCGCCGAGGCAGCATGTTATCTCATAGCACTATCAAAGCGCTCACTTTGGCTTTCTGTCAGCCGTGGTCCACCTGTTCAGTAGTAGTCAGCATTCAGCAATCGGCGGGGTGGTTCAGAGAGACAAATTGGCATGTGCACTAATTGAACTGAAGCTGTGGTTTCAATCATAATTTTTAGTTTTGTTTCCCACTATGGATAAGACATGTTTTGAGCCACGCTCTAGTGCTACACAGGGGCCTGTTTCGTCCTACCGAGACTCATTAGTAGAACCGTTCCTTCGTTCAGCAGATCCCTCCAGGCGATTGTCAATGCGGACATACTTTCTGTTCTCTGCATAATTATTTTCGGCTTCGCTTGAGGTGACTGAATGAATCTTCGTTTCTAAAAAACCTGTCTCAACTTCGTGATCCTGTAATATTTACATTGATAGCGAAACGCAAATGGGCTAACTGCATAAAAAGAGGCACAGAAAATAGATGAGCGAAAAGAACAGCGACGTGAACTCCAGGAGAATGCAAACGTCTTCGTGGAAAGCCACTCAAGCCATGGGCGGACAAATTTGTGACAAACGCCACCCATCTACCTCCGCAGATGGAAAGGAGTTTGGAGTCACGGAATGGACATCGCGTATTGCCATGATCGAAACAGATCACCACCATGGACGACAACTGCGCGAGAGGAAACGAATGGAAGCTATGGTGGGATCTACACTACCAGTAAAGGCGGACCGTCCGAGAATCCCAGTAAGCAAGCGTTATTTTTAAAACTCACGCGGCGCTGTGTTGCCCCTAGGAGCAAATATGCATGGGCACATCGTCAATGATATCACCTCTGAAGACTTGATATTCTTTGCGATCGTTTAATTTAGAGTGTAAAATGGATTTACCTGTATTTGTCAACTGATTGCTTGTGTGATAGAGTTGTGATGATGCGCACTGATCTGAAAGCCCTTTTTGCACATAGAAATACACAAGGAACTACTTTTCAAGAATTCACTGCAAATTTATGAAAGTTAATTGCCAGCTAATTTTAATGTAAGAGTGACTCAGGGGGTCCTCCTCGCTGTAGGAATCAGATGGGCGTCACATCTTTCTTCTAGGCTTTTTCTGAAGAAATCTGACCATTGGGTCGGTGGTCTTTCTGTGGAACTCTTCACATCCCAAAGAATCCAGTCTGCAACGGCTCTCATGCATCGGTTATCGTCAAAGCGCACTACGGGTGCGGTCCACCTTATTTTCGATATCCAGGCATGTAGAACGGCATCGTAGACCTTCGATCGCTAACGTAGGTCAGGAGTTCGTATTCTTGCCCTCTTTTGCGTGATGCGGGATACTCACAGCATCAATTTTTCGACTGCGTATCCAGTAAGCCAAGTGATTTTTCATCCTGTTTACGTATCAACCAGATTCCTGCTGCATACCTAGGACATGGATGACTGTTGAGTCGAAAAAGTGCACGTCTTCGTGTGTTCCTTGTCCTCTTCTGTTCGTCCTCGATGTTCTGACGCTCCCAGGCCGCTTGTTTCCTCCTGCTCAGTTCTGGAGCTGAGTCGTTCTTTATGTTGACTTCACGACATAGATAAACGTAACTGGAGCATTCGGAAATGTTCGTTTCGTTGAGCGTGAATGGGGCATTCAAAACTCATCCGTTCCTCATGAACATCGCTTTCGTTAGATTTAGTCGGAGACAAATTTTTTCACAGGATTTTCGAAATCGGTCAACGTTATGCCTGGCTGATGCGTCTGTTATAAGGAGGACGTCATCAGTAAAGCGGAGATGGTTTGATTGTCGACCGTCGATTTTCACTCCCATATCTTCTTATTCTAATGTCCGCACGACAATTTGAAAGGTGTTAGGGAATGATTTCGGCGCGACTGTATCGCCCTGTCAAACCCATCTTCTTACGTCGATATTAATATCGTTATAGAGCGGCAATAGTTTGGTTGAGAAATCTCTATATAACTCACAAAGGATCGCTACGTACCGAGTAGGAGCACAGTGGCTGCCCAGAGCCTCTTGACTGCTTCTGTTTCTGCTAAATTAAAGGCTTCCTTAAATCACTGAAATTCAGGCAGAGATGTCTCCTGCACTCTTGTGAAACTTAAATGAGCTTCGTGATTGTGTGGAGTGATATAGACCTAACATATAATTGTCTAACCGCGTAGCAAGCATACTCATTCAAATGCTCATTTTTGTATCTTAGAAAACGATTAATATTCAGCCTCGGCGTAAACAGTGAATCTTTCTCTGAAGATTTCTCACTTTTCACGATGTTAGTAACAAGGTTCATTTTTCTAGCACTCCAACGTGTTCGTCTTCCTCAGAGCCGACTGAACCGAGTACTACAAAACAGAATGTTATCTGATAACACTAATAACATGTATGAACCTGTTATGACTCTGGTATGGCACTCATACAAAGCTAGACAATCGCCATTTTCGCACTTTCAAACTCTTCAGTAACATAGCGCCTTTCGGTTCACCCGATATTTTAGGGATATACCCCTAGATACAAAAAAATTCAACGCCGAATGATAGATCACCCCAAGTCAGCTGAAAAACCCCCCAGCATTGCAGTGACTACAATCGAGTGCTTGTGGCTGCTAGAATGAATCATACCTACTACCATATCATATCATATCATATCTACTATCATATCTACTCTAGACTGCTGATTGTTATCATTATCAGTAAAAAATCGGCAACAATCATCCGTATAAAAGACGAAGTGTCGGGTGAACTTCTCATTCGAGCGGTTCTCCACAAAAGAAGAATCGTAGTATATACCAATACGAAGGACTCCGATGACGGACGACTGCACTATCGGATCGATTCAATCGACTATGAGGAAAGCGAAAACGACATTGCAGTGGCTGAAAAGACCTTTTTGCTGACTTCATGTAAGTTAAGAAATCTCTAAAAGTACAACGATTATTTACTCAAAGGTTAATTATGAGCGGGTTTTCAATATAGAACAATGAGTAAATAAAAGAAGTTGTTTGCACATTTAAGCACTCATATATTACGTTTATTTGTCTTGATTCTGAAAGTGTTTGAGTGAGTGACTGCAAGTCAATTTCACTATTCAAGGCTCTGACAGAGGCGAAACCATCGACATGCCAGCAAGTGGCGTATTTCCAACAACCTCGTGTTGGCTCATCAAAAAAAAAAGGATAGAGAGCCTACAGTGTCGGTGATGAGGTAAGATTAAATGCCACAAGGTAATCAAAGATGTTTTCGAAATGATACGTTGATAAGTGCATGTTGCTGCAATATAACCACGTCAGGAAATGTCGCCTAGAAAGTGATATTAAATACAGTGTGATTTGATGGCGTCTATTACATAGAGTATTGAGTTATGAAATGATCCATACTCAGTCAACGCAAACAGGTTATTGAGACATCACTTTCTAGACGACATTCTCTCAATATCTCGGGATTATACGACATATTACAGCTAAGAGAAGGCTATCGCATGGATTTTCCTCCTGACGTTCATCCGGAAATCCAGACCTACATCAACGTTCCACTTCGTGTCGGCTCATCAAAAAGAAGACGATAGGGTACGTACAATACTGGTTGAGGTAAGATATAATCTCACAAGATAATCAAAGATGATATCGAACTGATACGCGATAAGTGCATGTTGTTGCAATGTATCCATGTCAGGAAAAAACGGTACGCATACATTCTTGGCGCCTTCGAGACGGCCCGTCCTAAGCTCACTTTTATCTTCGTTGTTTTTCCAGTCGCGTTTTTTTTCTGTTATCTCCGATGCTCACAAACCCGGTAAATATGAAAAAGTGAAGCTGTTGGCATTATTCAAATTTTGAACGATGCACAACGCATTCGATCTCATCAAGCCTTACAGAGAGTCGTTGAACTCGCATCTGATTTTATACTTACTTATGGATGCCTAGCGATCTATCAAGTCAGTTCTGCTATGCTTTCAAACAGGTATGGTACCGATTCACCAATCAAGACTTGGTGACCTAACTGCAGAGTCAAACGAAGGAACACGTGTGCCTTGCTGAGCATAGCGAACTACTACACCAAAGGACCACGTTGGGTCTTATCAGAATTTTCG